GTTATGGTTGCTGTTGAAGGAGCTGTCCCAATGCAAAGTATTTTATCTTCTGGGATTGCAGTTTCTGAACTCCTATGGGTGTCTAATCACAAGCACCACTGTAATCATGTCTGTAGCTATCACATTGAAAACCTTTGTTTGTAGAAAATCATGTAGAAAGACTTTCTATATTCTAACTTTTGGTAGGAAAATATATATAGGAATATATATATGGTGAGAAACAAATGATGTAACTTGGACCTGTGGAATAGGGCTTTTGGCTAAACAGTCCTTGGGTTCTGTTTCTGGTTATCTTATTTGTCACCTGCTTTTGTATGTATTTGGAATGCCTCTTGCTAAGCAATTCTTTACAGGGGGATTTAGAACATACAGCACATGTAGAATAAGAGCTATAGGTTTCCTATTCAGTGCTTATAAAAGAGCCATTCTCTGCAGTTACTAATAAATATAGAAGCCGCTCTAAAGTCTGAAAAGTAGCTAGACAGACCTTCTTTTGTTACACTGTTATCATGCTACTAACAATTTGCAAGCATTAGTGCTCACAGTCACTATGTCCTTGACCCTCTTTTTTTTTTTTTTTCTGTGGAGGTGTGTGGAATTCGCAAAAAGAAAAGGAGTACTTGTGGCACCTTAGAGACTAACCAATTTATTTGAGCATAAGATTTCGTGAGCTTATGCTCAAATAAATTGGTTAGTCTCTAAGGTGCCACAAGTACTCCTTTTCTTTTTACGAATACAGACTAACACGGCTGTTACAATTCCACACATGTTTCAGAGTATTTTTCCTACTGAAGCTGTCTTGGCACACTCACGGTAGTATCGGATAACTCCAGGTTCTTGTGAATCAAACAGATTTATGATTAGCTTATTAGATTTTTCCAAGTCCAATGTATCTGATACCTCAATATAAATAGCTTCTGTTGCTGAGCCTGCACTTGCCATAGAAATATGTGCCTATGCATATCTGTTTGCATAGACACAGTCAAATTAATTTGAGAATAAATGAGTGCTTTGACCACTGTTTGTAAAAGACAAACGACTTATTGCAGGAAATGTGTCTTAGTTCGTGTCTCAGTTTTTCTTTTCAGGGTTGGAGAGGTAATAGGATCATGGATTTTCATTTGTGTGTAAACAGCTGTGTTCCAGATATTTTGGGAGGTAGCTTATTTCTGTAGCCTGCTAATAGTACAGACCAATAGGTGTTCCTTCTCCCCACCAATCAGCTGGGCAGGAAATGGCCACTGAAAATTCAGATCTTCTACCTCACTGAGACCAGGTCTCCCTACTTTTTTATTATTGACATCCACTGAGCCAGTTGCTAACCTGCACTTAAAAATCCTGCATGCTTTGACTGACCAGCATGTCTGATGTGAGCTTGTAAATAAGAACTGGCCTTTCACTTTAGTTTCCTTAAATGTCACCAAATGCCAGAAGGAAGGCATGAATGATTTGCACACCCAGCCTGCTGTTTTCTGCACCATTAAATCGATATAACTCTTTACCTTAGCATTGAGTATGAATACGAATAGTAATGTTAAAATACTCTCCTATGGCAAGCATAGCTATACCTGCAGTATCTTGCGCTTACCACTGAATGCCATTCCACTGAAAGAGTCTGACATAAATATGTATGGCTATAGATACTGAAGGGGAAGAATGTCCTAGTCAATTAGTCTAAGTTGTTATAGCTCTCTAACATTTTGCTCTAGGCTTCAACATGTGGGACTTGGTACATACACTTATATTTTGTAAAAACATTCTTCACCTTTGGACATGGTTCTCCTAGTCACTGCTCTTGTGATAGTTTTACAAATTTTAGAGTTGTTGGCAACTGTAGTAATATTATGGTGCATTAGTAATCAAGTCCAGGTAATCGGCCTTTGTTTTGAAGGGAGGCTTGATACCAAGGAGTTTGCTTTGCCAGGGAAAGCAAACTGATCGCCAACTTAACCTAAATCAGAATCACAAAAAAAGTTAATTTAAAGCTGATTTCTAGGCAAAACTTGGTAGAGTTATGTTTGCTAAGGAACATAATGTTTAAAAAGGGGGGAAATGATGTCTTTAAAAGTAAGAAAATAAACCATTTCAGGAAGGTGGATACACTGTTAATAACTTCTAATTGTGCAGACATACAGTTATCAGATTACATACTTCACAAACAGAATTTAGCTCTGCCCATCTGTTAATTTCAGGACAGCTGAAAGAAGGAAATTGATGGAAGAGGAGCTTCCAAACATGAGTGAGAAGCCAGGGGCAGAGGAAGCTAGCCTTTAAGGGAAACCACACATGAGTGCAGAAGGAAGCCAAGGGTATTGACTATGAGGCAAGGGCTTTCTGATGGTTTACTTACCAGCAATAATGAATCATTGTTTCAGAACTACATATCTGATTTCTGGGAATAAATATTCCTGAACTGCACAGACCAGTTATGTGCTTTGGATAATTAATATTCTGCCCATCCATAATTCTCCCATAATTTCAGTTGGATTAAGTATTCACTTCCTGTGCTAATCTCTCATGCACTGTTTTCACACCTGTCACATTCTACCCATGAAGTTCAGTGAAGTAATTCCTGTATATACTTTGTAAACCATTTTGAGATTAAAGTTGTCAGGGTAAATGTTCTCTATTCAGGCTAACAGTGCCAAGTGTGTATCTGAGATTGAGTGTTTTTGCGTGTCCCTTGTACAAGGCAGACTAATGGGTTTTTCTGTTATAACTAGTTACCTCTTTAAGATTTAAGAATTTAAGATTATATAATAAAGCTACCTATGTGAAAGTAGGACCCATGTATTTTTGTGATGCCATGGAATGTACTGCAGAATCCACTCCTTACTGCAGAGTTGTACTATAGAAACTAAAACTTCCTAGCTCTCATGGCTGTAAAGAAAATCTACCTGATCTGAACAAAAGTGTGAGGTTTCCCTGAGGCAGCAAACTACTTGAAAAGTATTGAACTGTATCATTCATCTGAGATTTAAATTCTAAAACCTAAAGATGACCATTTAAATATCAACTTCATTATGTCACTGCTGATCTTTATCAGGTATATGGAGTTAACACGTTTATCTCACAGCCTCCAACTGTCTGCCATGCCTTTTTGGATGCTGAAACCTACAAATATCTCCTACCCAGCTTTTCTGTTACAGCTTCTTTGATGCAGTTGTACGTTGTCAGTACAAATGTTTGTGGCACACTGAACTTGAATGAAGCTGGACCAGATTTTCCAGTCTGCTGCACCATAGTGCTGTAAAAACAAGCCTCTTGCTGTAGAATATAGCTTACCACAAAGTATGTGACTCTTGTAAATGGCCAAGGAATTCTGAATAATCAAATTTCTGATGAGCATTATTTACTCCAGTCTGTTCTGAATCTATAAAATCTCAGTTCGGACTTGCAGCTTTTTTCAGTATTTGCATGGGTAGTGGCTGTTTAAAAAACAGCATCAAAAAGCCTTCTAAAAATATACTTATGCTTAAGCAGCAATGCATGTAAACTTTGCACACAAAGTACTTAATTTTGAATTTTGCACTGGTAAACTACAGTGAGTGGGAGCTTTAGAAATGCTTTGACAGATGTGTACTCTGAATTTTCATGAAAGGATAGGATATTTCTCCTTTATAGGGACACAAAATTGAAATCTAGACAGTATTGAGCGACAAGTAGTTTCACCAACTACACCTGCCCTTGAGTTCCCTTACAAATTTTTACTATTTTATAGCTAATGTCAATGTCTGCCTTCCAACATCATTCAGATCAAATATATTCTGTTAACAAGTGTTTCAGCTGCCCTTGCTTGCTCAGCTTTGACTCTGTGTGTCAAGCTTGGTTCATTCTTTCTCACATGCCACCATCAATATTAAAGATTCTGCAGGGCAAATCCTGCCCTTAGTGGGTTTTCACAGGGGAAACTGACTCTGTAATTGAGACTTAGCAAATAACTGTAATGCAGGAGAAGGAATAGAATCTTCCTTAATTGTGTTGACTCTGCAGGGCTAATAGGAGCAGCTGACTGAATAAGTAGAGTGCAGATGTGTAGAATAAAGGCTTTTCCATAGACACTTCATAGTAAAACCTCACTGTCGTAATATACCTAATTACCAAATATAGTCTTTTAAAATAAATGCTTTCTGTTATCCCACTTTCTCTTCCAACTTGATTCTGTGATGTATCCTAATGCTGAATTGATACCAGTTGTTTGTATGGTAACATGAACACATGATTATGAGTTCTCTGTGTGATGAAGCAGGAAGAAAAATGGGGCTGTTAGTGAACTTTCATCCTGTATTTATCAATATCTTTACTGGAATTCAAAAAGACTGATAGTTGCTTTTTCACTAAACGTTAGTATTTTTCACTATTACTATAGTCAGAAATCCAGTGGAACTATTATTTGAAAATCTGCTATCAGCATGGGTTCTGCCAAAATGGGTGCCTGTAAAGGGCAACTTGCTATGGCCCTTTCAAAAGTTTTTGTATTGGAAAGCCACTTCCCAGAATATGATGAAAATTAATAACTTAGCTATGTAGTATTTAGCTTTTATTATAAATATTCAAGTAATAGTGCTCTGAATGTGCAAACTGCTGGACATACACTATTTAGCTTTTGTTTTAGTCACACTTTGCCATCATGATTCTTTGTAGAAACAAACTTCAGTATCACAGATTACATTTAGGTTCACATTTCCTAATAAATTTTCTATTTGAGAGCAAGATATTTCTTCCACTAAGTAGTTGCCACATATGTTAAATGTTTGATCCAGTGTCTAGAACCCTGTTTTATTTTCCTATTTTTGGAAAAATTGGAGAATTTGCCATTCTCTCCCTTGGTGCCTAAAACAAATCTCTTGAGGTTTTTTATACCCTTAAAAGGGTCTAAAGGCCATGTTAGTGTCAAAGAGTAAAAGTGACTAGTCATCCCTTTTGAAAATACAGAAAATTAATATAAATTAATCATACAAATTTAAGAAATGGTTAAGTTTTTTTTGTTTGATTTTCAGGAGGACCCAAATGACATTGATGCACTAAAAAAGAAAGACCCTCGCAGTAACAATGGGGAAGACAAAGCACAAAATGTGGAGACCCTACCTCCAGGTATTGCAGTAATGTTTGTTGCCAAAGTAAAAAATCCAAAACTATTAGAAGCTGGGGCTGTGAATTTTTCTGATAGAGGCTTTTACCCAGGAAGGGAGAGAATTATTATGCAAAATGTGGATTTGCTTTAATTCTGAAAACTTCAACTTTCTGAACTCTAGCCCACCTTGCGAGTAAAAATACCTATTTTGCTGAGGCTTGGTCCTAAAATACTCTATCTACATTTGATCCATGCCTGCTCATGCTATAAGCTGTTCCCTGCGTACAGATTCATTTGTTGGAAGAAGGCTCTTGAACAAGAGGTGCTCCAGTTCCCTCCACTGGTGGGACTGGCAGGTGGTATGCACTCCCCATTGGAAAGTGATACTTGACACATGAGCCCAGTGTTGAATCTTCAATCAGGAGCAGGTCATTTTAGCTACAAATTGAAAAACAAAACAAAACAGGCTTTTCTGATAGAGATTGTGTTTCTTTTGTGTAACAGCCTGTCTAGGCCAGGGGTGGCCAACCTGAGCCTGAGAAGAAGCCAGAATTTACCAATGTACATTGCCAAGGAGCCATAGTAATACATCAGCAGCCCCACATCAGCCAACCCCCCTGGCTCCCAGTGCCTCCTGCCCACTGACAGCTCCGTTGATCAGCACTTCCCTCTCCATCCCTCCCTGCACCTCCCGATCAGCTGTTTTGTGGCCTGCAGGAGGCGGGGGGGCGAACAAGGACACGGCAGGCTCAGGGGAGGGAAGGGGTGGAGTGGGGACAGGGCCTGTGGCAGAGCCAGGGGTTGAGCAGTGAGTACCCCCCAGCACCTTGGAAAGTTGGCACCTGTAGCTCCAGCCCTGGAGTCGATGCCTATACAAGGAGCTGCATATTAACTTCTGAAGAGCCGCATGTAGCTCCGGAGCCACATGTTGGCCACCCCTGGTCTAGGCTAATGTATGGGCTATAATCTTTATGTGCTCCAAAGCAAAGTGACATCTTTTCCCACTCATATCTGACATTCTCTAGCATATAACGTATGAATGGAGCAAGGAGTCCAGTGTCTTTATTTAAGAGGAACAGGGACATTTCCTGAGGTATGAGCTAGGAAAGCCTCAGTTGACCGTGGGATGTGCTCATTTATGTATTTATCAATATAGGTTTGTTCCTCTTCCTAATACTCCTGTTGCTGTAAAACTGCTGTTTTGCAGCAGTGGTAAATATGCACAGGGAGAATTAAAGTACCAAGGAGTAAAAAAGCTAATAACTCACTAGAATGGTCTCCGATGCCTAGCACTTGAAGAACAAGTGTATCTTGCAAAGGAGATTACTTTCTACCAGATGGTTCCACAATATATTTTCTCTCATTGATCTTCTGTACATATCCAGATGCTTCGTTGGGAGCAATTATAACCCAAACATCTGGACTAGTATAGATGATCTTGAAGAAAATTAACAACCTAGGAGAATTTTCCTCTGTGGTTTAAGCAGGATTTGCTATAATTTCCAGCATGTTTTTGTTTTGTAATCTTAAAATCTGGTGCAGCATAAACTATTTAAATTAATGGTTTTTCCACCCTATGGTCTTTGGCCCAGCTTGTCTTAGTCACTTAAGGAAATATAATTGTTATGAACATTTATTTTCTAGCAAAATATATATATTTGAGTATTATGCACACCACAGATTAGAAATTAAATTTTTTTAACAATTTATTTTCCAGTTTATCCATGTGCGTAAACACTTGGTGATAATTCAGTTAGTTTGGTTTCTAGCAGTCATTTTTCTGTACAGGTTTTTCCTTAACAGGCCTCTTTGCAAATATGTTTAATACCTCTCAGTTTTACTATAGTTTAGCTTTTCTTGTGACTTTTAGCTACAGCTCTTCATTTGTAGGGATTGGGCTACTTAGTCATGGTTTAGGGCAATGGTCTTCAAAGTATGAGGCATACCCCCCCAGGAGGTGTAGTGGGGGCAGGGAGGGAGCATCGCCCTGCCCTGCCCTGTCCCATCCCCAGCTTTGCTCCAGCCCCAGCCCTTGGCTCCCACTCTCAGCCCCTGGCAAAAGTTTGGGCACCACTGGTTTAGGGCTTCCAGGCATATATCAAATGCTTTTGGCTTTCCTCCTGAGTAGGTGAGACCTTTCCATTGGTCATAGGGCGAAGACACAGGTGTTGGGATGGGTATGGGGAAAACATGGAAAGGGAGGATATAGAGGTTTGTCCTAAAGATAGTAAGGGAGAGTTCAGGAGCTGGAGAATATGGAGCCAGGAATGAGACAAGATGCCAGAATGTTCAGAAAGGAGGTCTGTTGACCAGTCTCTCCTACCTGAGTAAGAATGATGAATAAGAATCAACATACTCTGGCAGAATACACAGCGCTCAAAGAATATATTGTCACAGGATTATACTCTTAAAATAGTATGAGCATTTTTAATGAGTGATGCACATAATGCTGTGAATACACAGTTATGGGATCTTGAATCCAGACTTCTGCAAGCTTTGTGCAACTTTTTTAATGGAAGTGGTTAGGTTTCAGCTATTTGCCTTTTTCCTTTTTTTCTCTCTTTGGCTCACTATTCCCTTCCTGCTTTTCAGTTGAGGTTTCGGAGAGGTGCTGCTTGTTTCGGCCTTCCGCAACATTGTATTTCCAGAGCTCCAAGGAAAGCAAGGAATTGTTTTCTGAGAGCTCAGTGCACAAATATTTTAAAAAGTAGAACTTGGGAGTCAGTCTTTATACAAAGCCATTAACATTTTAAAGGTAAATTGACATTTTACCATCAAAAACTCTATTCATGGTGCTGTGTTCAGGGGTTCTCCCAACAAATTTTTAGGTGGCCTCAAAGTGTGGCCACCAACTCTTGCTGATGGCTGCTGACAATTTTTCCTAAAATACTTACGTTTAGGAAAAACAAATAAATATGCATGCATACATGTCCAAATCATTGTAATTTATTTATACAGGTTTTTTTTGCAGACTTGGTAATTAAAAATTAATATACAGTTGTCTGTTCTTTACTGGCCTAAACAGAATAGAAACACAAATAAGGTGCTTTGCATGTTTTGCTTTTTTGGTTGTGTTTTTTTTTAGACTTGCTAGCTAGTAAGTCTGTTGCTGTGAAAAGTGGTATTTGTATATTTGTTAATATCACCTTTCAAGCAGACCTACTCAGCCCCGGCAAGCTGGGGGAGAAATTAAGCCTTGGATGGGGAGGTGAGTAGGGGGTCATGGGAGGAGATAGATGGGAGGCAACTGGGGTGATGGGGGTGTCAGGGCAGAAGCCTAGAGTCCTGCTGCATGGATGGGGACTGGAAGAGACAGCGGGAGCCAGGGGTGATGTGTGGGGGATGAGCCCAGAGCTGAAGCTGGAGAGCTTGCGGCTGGGGGATGGAGCCTGCTGCTGCGGGGACCAGCTGCTGCAGGGACCAGCCCCTGCTGGTGGCCCTGGGGGAGGGGCTGCTGCTTTGTCCTCTTCCCTCCCCCCACCCCCCAAATCGCCTAGGAGGCTGTGGCTGCAAGAAAAAACCATGGTTGCCGCATGGAGCCATGGTGGCCGTATTTGAGAAATGCTGTCCTAAATCATTTGATACATCACTGCATCTTCAACACCGTAGGGAGCTAAATTCCCATACTGTGAAGTGGTGGTATCAGCTTTAGCAGGGGTAAAGCAAAACCCTGACTGCTTGTCATGACAGATTACTAAAGAAGAGATTTATTTCCAGCTCATATGTATTAGTATCAATCTTTAATTGTATTAAATTAACCATTTGTGATTAAACATTTTAATTAAAAGCATTGCATTTCCCTTGTTGAGTAAAGGAGTTATTAACTACACCTTCGAACCTGATAGTACAATTTTTATAAAGGACGTATAAAAATAATATTCGCAAAAAGAAAAGGAGTACTTGTGGCACCTTAGAGACTAACCAATTTATTTGAGCATGAGCTTTCGTGAGCTACAGCTCACTTCATCGGATGCATATCGTGGAAACCGATGAAGTGAGCTGTAGCTCACGAAAGCTCATGCTCAAATAAATTGGTTAGTCTCTAAGGTGCCCCAAGTACTCCTTTTCTTTTTGCGAATACAGACTAACACGGCTGTCACTCTGAAAAATAATATTGAGACTCTGAGATTAAAACTAATCAAGGAACCTTCCCTATTTTAATTACTTAGTTAAAAAAAATTTCTGGCTCTCTTCCCAGTACAGGTTACTCCATTTTAGACTAGAGTAACATTAAAAATATTTTAAATGGTCCTTCTTGGAGAGGATTTAAATGTTACTGCACAACTGAAATGACATTCCAATTCTCTTCCGCTCCATCTCTTTGATAACAAACACAGTCTAGCAGTTAGACATCCACATTAAGGTAACTATTCAATATATCCCACTGGTATTGACCTATGTTTAGTTGTAAAACTAGGTCCAAAAAGTGAGCTCCTAATCCCCACATCACCTGTGGCTGCTGCTTGGGTTGAGGATTTCCTGAGTAGCTCACCTGCTATTCTTTCCCACCTTCAACCCCCTCTTTCCTTTACGTATCCCCCATATGCTGTTCCTGCTGGGGTCTTGCTCCCCATCCCACACAACTATGCCTACTGCTGGAGTTTCACCTGTTCCCTTCCTTCACATACAAGTTCATCTGCTCGGTCATCTCTTCTCTACCAGTTCAGTTAATTTATTCTGTGGCCCATTTCCTTCTCCCTTTTCCCCTCAGATCTCCTCTGTTCTTTTTCCTCCAGGTTCATTCTGTAGGCCAGGGATGGCCAAAGCATGATCTGTTCAGCTTCCCTTCTGTCCCTGGCCAAAGCTAGTGCAAGTACTCTAGAGTCATCTCTGCCAACCTTCTACAACTTGGAAATTCCCCGATCTCCAGTTGCTTTATTACAGCAACTCTGTACCTTTTTTGTTGCTGCCACCCAGGATCTGGCCCTAAGTCTTGAGTTAGGGAAAAGGAAGCAGAAGTAGAAGTGAAGATCCTTTTAAAGTAGACAGCTCTAATTTAGAGAGGGAAGACAACATAGAG